TCTTATATTATTTATAAAAGAGTTCATTTTATTGGGTTGTTAAGAAAGTCATGACACATTTTGGCACAGGAAAATGTGTCACAACTTTCTGGTCAACCTTATATTAGTAATAATATAAAATACAGCTTTTCAAAATAAATTCAACATGTACTTTTTTTAATTCTTATTATTTTATTATTTATTTGCTTTCTTTTTTTCTTTTAAGAGATGTTTTTGCTATAAGGCATGTGCACTAGCTAGAGAGAGAAACAGAAAGTGAGAACTCATGCCACCACAGGAGATGGCCAAACCATATGCCTTCTCCATCATTCTCTCAGAATTTGGAGCATGACAAAAGTTTCAAGAAGCCAGGTCCAGGACTCAAACCATGGTCAGCCATGTGAGAGTTCGTTGATGTAATTCTACTGCCATCTACTGGTCCCTTTGTGCTTTCTATTGTAGATCTATTTGAGTTTATTTTCATAAAATAAAAAAAAAAGCTGAAAATGGAGCAAAGTTTCATTTGGGTAAAAATACTCAATAAAAATTAAGAATAGCAAGTGCTAAGTACCATTGACTTGTTTTTTTTTAATTTTGTTTTTTATTGGCATATAATTATTTAATATATCTACAGGGTACACAATGATGTTTTAATATATGTATACATTGTATAAAATAAAATCAAGGTATTTACCACATTTTTCACCTCATATACTTACTTCTTTTGATGAGAACACCCAAAATCTTCTCTTATTAAGGATTTCAGATAGCACAGAAAGTTTCATAAGATGTGGACAGATGGATGGGTAGTTAGACAGAAAGACCTGATAAAACCTTCACAACATCCCTAGAAGGTAGGTACAGAGTTATTCCCAGATTACAGCTAAAGGAACAAGGCACTGGCCATTATACACTGGACCCTGACAGCAGTTTCTCAGCAAGGGCACTGGGGTTCAAGTCCTTAGAAATCTCACTGAGTAACCACACCACTATTCTTCCTCTAGTCTCGCTCTCTTCCAGAATTTCTGTGTAAACTTGAACAACTCATGAAACTTTCCTATATCTCAATACCTCAAGTTAAAAATATAATAACATGGGAACCAGCAGTCAGCGTAATGGCTATGTCGCTGGACTCCCACGTAGTCGACCGCGGTTCACATCCTGGACCCGGTGGCTTAAAACTCACGCCGGGCGCGTGTGTGTGCGTGCCCAAGATCCTGAGAGGAGAACGGAGGAGAAGGGATTGCGGCGTGACCATCCCCCCTGGGGGGTGATTTCTCGCTTTCTGTCTCTATGTCTCTCTCTGTCTGTCTGGCGAGTGTACGCACCCTATACCGAAAAAAAACTCTCCAAAAAAAAAAAATGTAATAACATTTTGCTGAGCTACATCATAAAAATGCTGTGAGCAATCAGGACATAATAAAGAAAACATGCTTTCAAATATTATGTACACAAGGAAATACTGACCTAACAATGTGGCAAAGTTTTCCCACTAGGAAAGAAAGACAAGGGGTCAGAGAAATGCCCTAGAAAAATAGTTTCACATAACCAATTAATTAAGTCTAAATCCATTTTTACTATTTACTCACTTAAACAAAATTCACCCTTTTTGAGTAAGAGATTCCAAACACATGTTCATTGTATATCTTCTGTCCTTAATACAGAATTCTACACACAATATGTGCTTAATAAATGCTTTATTCATGATATAATAAGTCATAAGACATAACAAGATCCTTTGAATCCTGTGTGTCAAAGAAAATGTCCTGGCACATGGATGACTTCACGGTTGATGCATGAGTACACCTTGTAGATTTTAATCAAGGTATTACCAACTTCCTCCAGAAAGAGAGGACACTTCACCCTTCCTGGACAGTGGCCTCTGATTCAGATTGAAGTGATCATGCAATAAGGAGAGGCAGGAGAAAGGAAGTCAAGAAAAGGGCTTCGGCAGGACCCTGTCTCCTACTGTTTCTACCCTGGAGCATAAGTGATTGGAGCATCAGAGTCATATCTTACTCTGCGAGTCCTTTACAGTTTGCAAAACACTTTTACACAAAATGAATAAATTTTTTATGTAATATTCATAGTATCCCTCTTAGGTAGAAAGCTGAAGGGTTATTTTCATTTCTTTCTGTAAAAAGCCTATAGAGGCTTGGGTTGGATGATTAGATAAGTCTGTCTAGTGATAACTCACAATACTGAGGCTCGGCAGTTTAGACAACACCACTCAATGGCTCGGCTGATCCAATCCTAAGGCTGCTCCCAAACTTGTTCATTCATATAATTATTTTTCATTTATTACTTTTTAAAAATTCCCTGGCAGGAGTCTATGAATAGCAGCCCAGATTGAAGGCTTCTCTCAAAAACTGGAGAAAGTGTCTCTCAGTCCTCTGAAATTATGTGAACACCTATGAAAATGGAGTCTTAGCACAAACTTTGGCACAATGGAAAGAATGGCTGTGCCTTCAGTTTATACTTACAAATGATCTCTCTTTGATCTATGTGTGTAATATTTTTCCATGTATTTACTTTAGATGATTTTTAGAGGCTTTCTTTTCTTTTTTAGATTTCCAAGGAGTACATGTACTCACCAGAAGAGAAATTGCACACAATTGAGCATGATCACGGCCATATCCTTTTTCCTCTATTTCTCCATGTTAAAGGTTTTGGGGCATGCAAGCGTGCCTAGTGTGCTTTTCTATCCACCGGATTTAAAACATGGTCAATCACTTATGGTCCTACTCCTTCCACATAGCACATCCCAATACAGTGAGACTACTCAATATATGCATACAATATATAATAATCAAAACAGGGCAATAAACATATCAATTATCTCTATTATTTATCATTACTTTGGGAAGTGAACATTTAAGTTCCCTTTTTTATTCAGTTATTTGGAATTCTACACTAAATTGTTATTCAATAGATTGCTCTATTGTGCTTTAGTGCCCCAAAACTTTTTTCTTTTATTTAACTACAATTTTTATCTGTTCACCAAGTTCTTCTAATCTATCCCACTCCTTTGCCTTCCAAGGTTTTGGTGTATCCCAATTTATTCTCCACTTCTATGCAACCAAATCTTGTAGTTTCCACAAGTGAGGGACCACATGTAGTATTTATTTTTCATTGCCTGGTGTGTTATAAATAATATTAAAATAATAAAGTATAGCTCATGCACAGGGGTAAAAAGAAATTAATAGAAACTCTGTCTGAGAAAGCTCACGTAATAGGACTTACTAAAAAAGCCTTCAAATTAAATGTCTTAAGCATACTCAGTGAAGTAAAAAAAAACCTTGGACAAAGAAAGTGAACCAGGAGAAGTATCTCACCAAATAGATTTTTCAAGTTATATGTATGATAAGCCCTATTTAAAATGGACAAATACAGTGAATAATTGTTTAATATGAGAAAAAGAAATAATAATCATTTCTCAAAAAAATATTTGCCATTGTCTGACAATCACATGAAAAGATACCTAACAAGATTACTCATCATGGAAACATAAATGAAAACCATAATGAAATACTATTTTTTCTTTGAAGAGGTTTTTTTGCTATAGGAGCGTGTGTGCTTGCCAGACAGACAGAGAGAGAGACAGAGAGACAGAAAGTGAGAAATCACCCCCCAGGGGGGATGGCCACACCACAATCCCTTCTCTTTGATTCTCCTCTCAGGATCTTGGGCACGCACACACACCCCCAACCTGTGAGTTTTAAGCCACCGGGTCAGGTCCAGGATGCGAACCGCAGTCGACTACATGGGAGTCCAGCGACATAGCCATTACGCTAACTGCTGGTCCCCATGAAATACTATTTCATCTCTCTGGAATAACTGTAATAAAAAAGATGATAACAGTAGTAGTTAAGTGCAAAAATTTAAACTCTCATATTCTGCTGGTGGGACTGCAAAGTGTGCAGTTGCTATGAAAAATAGTTTGATAGTTCCTCAAACACTCAAACATGGAGTTACCATATGCACTGTACTCATAGGTGTGTACCAAAAAGAAGAGAAAACATATGTCAACACAAATATTTGTACAAGAAAGTTCATAGTACCATGATTCATCATAACCAAAAAATGAAAATTTAAATATTCATTGAGTGATGAAAAAGGTAAACAAAATTTGGTGTGTGGGAATATAATTCCATTGTAAAAAAAAAATGAATAAAATACATATGCTGCAACATGAATAAACCTTGAAAACAATATGCTAAATGAACAAAGCCACAAAGAAAAAGCACATTGGTATGATTCCATCCACATGACATTTCCAAAATACAAAAATCCATAGAGACAGAAAGCAGATCAGTGGTTCTCAGTAGTTAGGGAAGGAGAAAATGAGAATGACAGCTTAATGGACTTTCTTT